CGTTTGTGGAGAGGAGGGTCTCCGTGCTGCTGCTCGTAACCTTCGGATTCCAGCCTTCCGCTGCGGTGTTTCTTCCCGTCCGGCTTCCGAGAGAGAGGCTCCTCTCTCCCCGCCTCGCTGACGGGCTGTCCGGAGGGGAGGCGGAGAGTCTGGGAGTCCCTGTGCTGCCGTGTACCCCAGGGGGAAGAGTCCTGTCTCGCCCGGGGACATGTTGCCACCTGTCTGCCTGTCTCTGGAAGGGAGCGGGGCGGCCAGGGAAGATAGGGTCCTGAACAGGGGCAGTGCTGTTGGGGCTGCTCCCCTGGTTTCACTCTGGGGACACAGCGCCCGGGACCAGTCGAGTGTGCAGACCCTTAGCGTGGTGCCCCTGTCGGGTTTTGGGGCTTCAGTTTGTGGGGGCTGTTGTGTCGCCCGTTCAAAGGAAGGGTAGCCCAGGACGGGCCTTGACCGGGGAGGACAGTGTGTAAAAACTACTCCAGCTGCTGCAGGGCCCCCCTTTTGTCTCCGGATCGCATGATTCGATTTTCTACGGTTTTTGCTGCTATGATTTCTACTGACTCCTAATTTCCAGGTGGTTAGGGAGCACACAGGGATCACTCTGTACAGGGCTGAGACCCAGGCCTGTTTTTTGTTTTCTGAAAGTGTTTTCATCCAGTATCTCATCCACTTCCCTGTGAAATTTCATGCAAACTTAAGTTCTGTTCAGTTTTTGCCAGCCTACATCAGCACTAAGAGGTAAGTTTTTGTTTTCAGCCTATTTGCCTTGATTTGAGTATGTTTGCATAGAGAGACGTGGCGTTTAAACATTTTGAAACTGATTGCTTTTCTGCTTCGTCCGCGCAAGAGCCTGCAGTCTCTGAAACCTGTAAGGATTCAGTGAGAGTAGGAGCCGGCTGTCTCCTCGGCTTCGCAATTGATTGGCTGACTCCTGCTGTAGTCTGCTCTAGAGGAACTGCTGTGCATCTCACTCCTGTGAGCGGCATCTCTCTGTCAGATCACAGGCTAGCCAGTTGTACCCTCAAAGCTTAGCCCAGCATCGCCTTAGTGATTTTCCCCGGTATATTGCCCCTAATGGTTTGGTGAACAGAACCCTTGCAAGCAAAATTCAGTTGTTTTTCTGTGGGGAAGCCGAAGGTAAATTTCCTTTTAGGTCTCTGCGATCTGCAGGTTTTCTTTGGGTCATTGATGCACTCGGCAACATTTTCACGAACAGAAGTGTTCAGATGACTGCGTCAGCACACATGGACTCCCATTGTGGCCTGGGAGTCTGAAGATGAAAATCCTTCATTTAACCATGTCTGTGGTAGGACCAGTCCAGTCCACTCTGTCCACAAAAGCACACCTCTGTTTGTTAATCTCGAGTCTTCAGATGCCTTGTGACCAGCTGTAGGCGTTGTTCTAAACAGGTGTCGAGTTGTTCCGATGATGAGCTCCGTTGGAGGTTTGTGTGGCACAGTTTCCTTCCACCTCTGTGCATCTAACCTCCCGACGCAGGGGGGGAGACAGTGGCCGTAATCGATTGTGTTCCCTCTCTCCTGCAGGCATATCGGGGAAGAGTCAGATCCTCTTCGCACTGGTTTTCACCACTCGGTATCTGGATCTCTTTACGTCCTTCATCTCCCTCTACAACACCAGCATGAAGGTGAGCGCTCATCGCCCTCCGCTGCCTCCCGCCTCGAGCTGCAGCGCCAGCCAGCCGGCCCTCGGCCCTGCACCCTGGCCGCTTCCTCTGGGACCCCGTCGCAGGCACTTTGCAGAAGCAGGGGCCTTGATTTGCAAGCCCTGTGTAGTAGCGGCCATCAGTGAAGATGCACAGTGGTCCAGCTTGTCCCAGTCCTGGTGGTGTTCCAGCACTCAGCTGGACCCTTGATTGAATACACAGTGGGGGACTGGTTTTCGGCTCTTAAACGTGCTGGAGTCCACCTTTTAACTATTTCATTTCATAAGTAAAAATAAAAAAGTTAAATTCCGCTTTTGGTGATAAAGAGATGTGCAAGCGTCTTGTCGGGCAACTTGTTGATCCAGTTAAGGGTTCAAGTATGTAATGAAGTTCGGCTGATCTGAAAGCCACCAGGATTCGGGTCCCCTGTGTGGTGAGTGCGTTTAAAGCAGATAGACGATACCTTGGTGTGGCTGGTGCGCTCCCTCTCCGTGCGGCTGGCCGGGCTGATTTTGAAGTCCAGTATGGAGGACCGCACAGCAGTAACCTGTTGCAAACCCGGCTGATGGCCCTCTGTCTGTCTATCTGCCTGCCTTTCAGGTCATCTACATCGGCTGTGCGTACGCCACGGTCTACCTGATCTACGTCAAGTTCAAGGCCACCTATGATGGGAACCACGACACCTTCCGGGTGGAGTTCCTGGTGGTGCCGGTGGGGGGGCTGTCCTTCCTGGTCAACCACGACTTCTCTCCCCTGGAGGTGAGCCGAGGGGGGCGGCCGGTGCTGCGAGGTTGTGTTCGAGCAGCCTTGTGCTCCGCTGGTCAGTCGGCGTTCCGCCGTGGGCGTGTGGGGGCGGCCGCACCGAGCCTGGTCGGCCTTTAGGGGGTTCGAGTGCCTGCTGCCGATGCTGCTGTTGGACCCCTGAGAGGCACTTTGCCAGCTGTGTGGGCGGGGAGCTGGGCTGGTGTCCTCTTGGCACTCCGGATGAGCCAGGTGAGCTGCTGTGGCTCCAGTGTGGAATTCACCATGACCTTTTTTAACACAGCATAATAAGAAAGTGAAGGTGATCTCCAAGCGTGCCCCCTGTGGGGGTTTTTCAGAGGCCTGGCAGGGCTACACTGGGTTGAGCATCGCCGGCGGCTCGGCTCGGGGTTGCAGCTCGGTCAGCTGCCCTGATGTGACCTCCGGGGGGGGGGGCAGGTTTCTCTTCATTTCAGGCAGTCTTAGTGTCTCTTCCTGCAGTGTCCCTAAACCCGGCCTTCTGAAAAGCCCATGCTGCTCTCCCGTTTTGTTGCGTTTGCCTTTTCAAGTTGGGGCACGAACGCCGACGCTTTGTCTGGCCCTCGGACGTGTCCTCTTTGCGTACTTGCCCAGGCCCGGTCTCCCCTGGCTCCTAACCGTCACTGCCCCCCCCCCGCAGATCCTGTGGACCTTCTCCATCTACCTGGAGTCGGTGGCCATCCTGCCGCAGCTCTTCATGATCAGCAAGACGGGCGAGGCCGAGACCATCACCACGCACTACCTGTTCTTCCTGGGCCTGTACCGCGCCCTCTACCTCATCAACTGGATCTGGCGCTTCTACTTCGAGGGCTTCTTCGACATGATCGCCATCGTGGCCGGCGTGGTGCAGACCATCCTCTACTGCGACTTCTTCTACCTTTACGTCACAAAGGGTGAGTGGGGGTTTCATGGCCCCGGCAGGCTTATCTCCTGTTCTGTGGAGTCGGAGGGTTTTCTTACAATCTCGGACATGTTGCAATATCAGAGCTTTACCACCAAGCCCAAAGTCCTTCCATGTGAATGTTAGTGTCCCACACAGGTGTTGGATGGGCCGTGTTTAAACAAAGTGTGGCGTGGGCTGCTGATTGAAAAGTGATCAGATATTGAGGTGCTGTTTAAGGGGCAAACTGCACACTCTGTAGACGCCGAAGGCACGCTGTGGAAATTCTGTTCCAGCTCCTGCGCTGTAGTTTTCCCGCATGCGAAGCCCCGCGGGTATGAAACTTCAGAGTGTGGCTGAGGAGATAGACCTGTTGGGGCTAAAACCCAAGCGAGCCGGATGTCAGCAGGGTCGTGCTCCAGCCCGGACTCGTCTGCGCCGGTGACAGTGTTGAAGTAACCGTGTCTTTGTTTCCCCTCCCCTAGTGCTGAAAGGGAAGAAGCTGAGCCTGCCGGCCTAATTGCCAAAGACCAACAGCCGCGTCTGTCCGCCGTATCGCAGGGGCAGAAGCCATCTTTGCCACAAGCTAGCGTAAGATGCCTGAGACAGAGAGCGAAAGGGAAACACTACTGTTTTTTGTATCTCGAGTTTTCCCGTCAACAGCTCCAGAACAAGATGGAGACACGCCCCCCCCCCCCCCCCCCTCCTCCTCCCTTCCCTGGTCTTCACAGCCTTCGGATTTCTGTTTTACGCATCTTGCCTTACCTTTTTTATTACTATGTATAAAGGAAAAAAAAAATGTTTTCTACATATGTAATGTACTCTTCCTGATCGAAACGCATTTCAATGGGAAAAATTAAATGAAATAGTCGAGAGGACATTCTTAACGACCTCATGATAAATATCTTAAAATCGGTTTGGATCAGAATAAAGTGCAGATTTGTTTCCTAATTGGTGGAAGAATAGTTTCAGTTCTCCAGTCGCCCCCCTTCCTGTGCTATTTATTTGTAAATGACCAGTACTGAACGGCTTCTCTTTGAAACGCGTATTTCCCCGTAGTGTTCACAAACAAGTCATACTGATGTACACTGAGGGGTAGGTGGCTTGGCCCAGCTGGCCCCCAGATAAAGCTGCAACAGTTTTCTCTTTGAATCCTCTTTTTTTTCCCCCTCTTTTCCGAGCAACGAAGGAAGCCCCTCCTGCTCCCTGGGATCCAAGGAGAGAGACGGGTCTGGGCTTGGAGGGTCCGGTGGGCTCTATGAATGCAGGTTTCCAAAGCTTCCAGCTCCAAACTCGGAATGGAAGTTCTGCGGATGGGTTTCCCAAGGGAGCAGATTTCCGCATCGGTTTTAGAATTTTGTACCCTCTCTGATGGGTAGTAACCCCGACCACTTTCCCCTCCACACACGCGCATTCGGTTTTTCGGTTTCGGCCTCTGCGGTAGTGTACTGTTTTTTTGATTGGTGCTACTCTCGGCTCGGAAGCTCCAGTCTTTGCCGTTTCTTCCACTGCAGTCTTAACTCCTCAATGTGGGATCTGCACAGCGAGTTCTTTCTGCTGCGTTGCTGGATGTGACTTTTGCGGTTCGATCCAGCGTCGTGCCCCTTTTGGCGTCGATGCGCTGTAGCTGCGCGAGAGGGCGGCCGTGATTTCGACTGGTCCTTGCCGCTTGAGATGAATCGCACCCGGTGCGCGGTTCTCGGACTTCTCAGCGAATGTAGTTTGGGAACGGGCTGGGTGAGGTATTTGTCTCTTGGCTTCAAAAAAACACTTCTCCCAATTTTTCTGTTCTTGCCTCTGGGGGGGGGGTTTATTGGGGACCAGACCTTTCCTTGCACCCTGCACTTGGACAGCTGTGCCTGTGGTGTCCCCTCGCTCAGAGGCGTGACGGGTGGCAGGCAGTGTCCCTCTGGCTTGCTGACCAGTGTGGGGGCTCTCCCCGCCCTGGGGCGATTCTCCCTGGAGTGCCTGATGGCCACTGATGGAAACGAACCTGATGCGCCAGGCATTTTTCACGATCAGCATTTTTACTTCAGTTTTACTTCTCGTGTGAAATGGCGACCTGTTGTTTCTGTTCAGGTGCAGCCCAAGTCCCCTCTCTAGCCCTGCCAGCTCTGGGCTCGGAGAGCCCTACTTGACCTGTTTTTTTTTTGTTTTTTTTTACCACTGGTGAGTTCCTAGAGCTCTGACCACTCTCCCTCTGCTGCTTTCACCCTTCTGCTCTCCCTCTGTGGATCCCCCAGGTCAGTGTTGCGCGAAGCGGTATTAAAAAGGGGAGCAGGTTCCTTCAGACCCCTCCTTCTCCTGCGGGTGTGGGAGCCCCCCACCCATCAATCGAAGAGAGAGGTCACCTACCCTGAAACGACGGCTCTACCGAAACGCAGCATTCTAAGTAAATTGCCTTACTGCTATACAAAGATTTCATGCTGTAGATAGCTTCATTCAGTTCATCATCGTATCCTACCTATGTTTGAATATGTAAGAGCACCCGGTTCGGTCGGGGGTACAGACGAGCGTCGCCCAGGTCTCGTGCCGGAATATGAAGGAGTTGAGGCCTGGTCTGTACAGCATGTTGGCGCCTGGAGACACTTCTGCAAGGTGGTGTTGTGTAAATGCCCCCCTGAAAGTCTGGAACACTTTTTCCACCTGTAGTGTCTCGTGAGGTGGGGATGTCGGGAGCTGTGCTGTCCCGATGCTGCCACGGCGTTCCTTTGGCGTTGAAGCCCCGCGGTTCTGGCGTTCCAGGTTCGCCTGCGATCGGCCCACTCTTTCATTTTCCTCGGCGCCGCGGGCAACGGCCCCTGAGGCTTAAGATCATCACGCCGACGGAGATTGAACTCGCTTGGTTTCAAGGGCCGGTTTGCCCGCTGTCTCGGAAGCACGTGATGACAAACGTCGGCCATGTCCCCCACCCCCCCCTCGCTGACCTCCTCGATTTCCAGCTGCATGAGTGACCGCAGGTGCGTCTCGGCTGCTGCCTCCGGGGTCTGTCCCCGAGGGGCCGCTTTCATTTAGAAACACGGCGAACGCACTTGAATGGAAGATGCTGAAGGTGGCTTGATTAGGTGGGTTAAAGGACAGGCTGTCCAGGTGTGATGGTGGATTAATTTGTCGGCCAGGTGAATTGCACGGAGAAGCCGACTCCCTCTTCTCCTTCAAGTTAAGGCAGATTGCTTAGTGACCCTGGTGTGCGTGTGGTGTGTTGTGGCGCGGGGGGGGTCTCCTCTGCTCGTCCCCCGTGTCGAGAGCGGCCCTTGCTCCAGCCGTGCGTCCCCTGAGGAAGGCTGAGCAGTGTGCGGCAGAAAGCATTAACCCTTTGTGTCCCGGAACGCTGGCTCTGACCGCAGAATTTGGCCCCCGGCATCAGTACGTTTTCAGTCTGTAAAAACACCGTTGCAGTAATTAGCTGAACATGCTTTCATGGAAGTGGAAAAATTACAGCAATGCCCTTAGGTTTTGCCTACTTGATGTGCAAGTTGTTGAACTCCTATTTTTTTTATCTTAGAGAAGTGTGACGCTCTGGGCATTGTTGTGCTGTATAGGGGAATATCGTGGTTTTGTTATCAGTAGTTATTTTTATTTCCTTAGACTCAGCAGCATTTGGCTCCTTCTCATTCAAGTCATTCCTGTAGTTTTTTTTAATTTTCATTTCTTTTTTTTTAACTGAGCTGTTGCATGATGTTTAAACCCTGTGATATCATCCCCAATAAAGATTTTATGGGAAATCCTTTTTTCCAGTCTTCTTTTGTTCCTCCCTCCCTCCCTCCCTCCACCATGGTTTTTCCCAGTGCAGGGGGAGCGAGGGGACCGGGACCCAGAGACGAGGGAATTTCGGGGAGTAATACTAACATCATGGTTGTGTAACACTGAAAATGTTCAGTTGTGCGTTTCTGAAAAATGTAGATTTCACAAGTGCAGGCTGTTTATTTGGGACATTCTGAATCGTCATAAACTTTTTTTTCCCTGTTTCGTCTTGTCATATTTGTTTTGGTTTTGTGTGTCTCTTATTTACTTACAAACGTCCTGTGTGTCCTGATGTGCGGGGGATAAGGGTTCTTCTAGGTGGACAGAGGCTTCAGCTGCTGTAATCTCATCAGCCTCTGTAAAACCAAGGTTTGCAACTCCGGACATCAGGGTCTAGATGCGACTTAAGTCCGTGACACATGGGAAAAATCAGTCTGGTTCAACCTGGGATTGATCCCATTAACACATTTCTTAGGTTTATAAATTGAGACCTTGGAACACCTCCTGGATTCCAGCTCTGAGGATGGAAATGGTGGGAGCCCCCTATCTACACAAAACACCTCATGGGCTGACCATGAACTACTGTGGTTGCAAACCAAAAACTTCAAATCCTCTGGCCCTCTGAGCGAGCTTCTGTACTTTGTAGGTGTGACCTCATTCTTGTGAACTTTACCCCGTTGGATCTGACTGCCTCTCCTTCTTTCTCTGTAGGCAAACAGTGGGTGTGGTTAATCTAAAGGTGATAAGCTGATGTGTTGATTTCTGCGATTTTTTTTTGCTGATCTGTGTGAAATGAAATGGGAGATGAGGATTAATCTCGGTTTCAGGAAGGTAAGCGGTATTAAACGTGCATCTTACGGGGAAAAATGCCGGTCTCACAGAGCCTGTCTTCTTCAAGTGGGCTGCTTGGCGATACGAGAAGCAGTTTGTGTCAAATGGGGAATTTAACAAAAAAACATCTTTGAATTTGGTAACCACAGGTATCTTGTAACGATTCAAGTCCTGTCTGTGAAAGATACAGTCCTCTGTGATGGGGTGCTATGCCAGATCTTATAATGATAATAACTGCTTAAGGTTCAGCTTTTGTAGTGCTGACCCCACCATTGTTAGAAGTGATGTCATGTTTGCTATTAGCTGTTGACTTGGTCTCTGTTCTCCACTCTAAGATAATTCCTTCAAGCCGGCAACATGGATTCAAGGTTAAAGGTGCAAATGAAGAGGAGATGCATTATAACTCAATACCTGGTGCACTCATCGATGCCGACGTGTAGAGTCTTGAGAGAACTGTTGGGCCAGACATCGAGAGCTGCCTGGTTTGTGTTGAGAAATTAACTAGTAACAAACAATTCAGCCTTGGAGGGTTCTGGCCTGATGTGAATATGTAACCTGCCGGCAATCGAACAGAGATTTGGCGGTGCAGTTCAGCCCTAGTCCTCGAAAGGTTGGAAGTATGTATGTCTGCAATCTACTGATGAAACCGAAATAAACTTGTCATTTGAGAAGCACTTACATGTTGTTTTCCACTGCAAAATGCCTTTGTACCTTAAGGATATCTTCATACCAAATTAAAATAAAAAAACAGCCAGAGATCAGGTCCTTAGGAATAGCTCCAGGGAGCCAGTTCAAAAGTTAAAAGCCTTTAGAAGTTCAAATGTCTGAATTTTCAACGTTGCAAAGCTAGGCCAGTTTCCACACTTATCCAAATTATTCTACAGATGACCTTCAACCCAATAGAAGGTGGTGCTGTTACTTTAAAAAATGTTTGCAATGTGCTGTTTGTGGAGCTTTTTTACATTGCAGTTATTCGGATAAACCACAATATGAAGTCGGCAATGAAACAAATGGTAACTGAATTTAAAGAGCGCAGTTAAAAACGGACGACCCTAACCAGGTCGTCGACAGAAAAAAAAAATATTTACCATGAACCATAGTTTCTCACATGATTTCCTTGATTCTCATCACAGTTAAATTCAAATGAGCACAATGCAAGATAAATGCAAAATTGGACAAAACGATTGTCAGTCAGCGAATATAGTCTAACTAACGCAATGTACAAACAATACATTCAGGCAACGGTGTGCTAATTTAACACGTGGAGTTTTACGTTTTGCATCCGAACTTACATAACATCGTTGTTTTATATCAACCTGTTTTTTTTTTCTTTCATGTCAGCTAATAATAATTAATTCTAAAGATACTGTACATATGATTTATGTCAAGTATTTTTTTAAGGAGCTACTGTCTGTAACTTCCGCCTGCTTTGGATCGTGCGCACTGCGGAACTATTAGAAAAAGCTCTTGTTTCCATGTTCTGTCCGGGACAATAATACCGATGCGCACATTCCGGACAAGAGATCGCTGGATGGAAGCAAAGACATTAGCGACTTGGACTCCGAAGCTCTACTAAAATGCATTAAAACCTATATGTATTTCATGTTTATAGCTTATTAAAGTTTAGCCTTATCAGTAAAGATAAAAAAAAAATTGAAAATGAACTTGCCGCTTACCTGTTTAGCAGTGCATATGGTCATTTAGAGACCTATCATGCAATACCTTCCGAGGAAATTATATCTTTACTAGCTGACCAAAGGCTGTCAGTTCCTTAGTTGCTTAAGAACGGTTGTAAATCCTGCAAAGACTGCGTCGTCTTTTCAACAATCATTGAAATTAACGTGAATGTTAGAAGAAATCGTCTTTAAATATAACGTCAGTGCTCCATTGCAACATCCGACAAGTGTGCTGGCGTTATGAATATACTATAGAAGCAGAGTCCACTGTATCTGTAACCAGGTCTTTGTGGGAAACGCCTGCGTCTGGTCTGGAGTTCAGTCTTCGACCTCCAGCATGCCGGGCATGGTAGTTTGTGGCCGGCGATGGGGAATCGCTAGCGACGACTTGGTGTTTCCCGGGGCGTTTGAATTGTTCATCAGGATCATATGGTAAGAAATGAATTGTTGTTACAAACCGAGGTGCCTTTTTTTTAAAAAAAAATCTGTAATTGTTTTAAAAAGAGTAAACCGCGACAGTTTGCTGGGGCTCCACTGGTGACGTGATCGGTATCGGCTGTGATGTGACGCTTGGTGATTGCGGATGATGGACGCCCCTCTCGGGACAGTGGCCTTGTTCAGACCACCTGAGCCTATAGGGGGATAAAAACGTGCCAGACGAGGCTTTGTACTCGCAGGCTGAAACGGAACATGTACAGCAGCTGAGGTCTGTGATGAAGTGGATATGGGTTGTCAGCCTTGCTTCCTTGGAAAGGGAAGCTGTTTTTAATTTAAACATCAGAAATACAAAAAAAAGGAGACAAAATATTAAAACAGATACAAAAATAGACACACTTCGCAGCCAGAGGAATTCACAATTATAAAAGCTGAAAATTAAACTTTTTACATAATTCCATTGCGTGCCTTGACTTTTGATTCTTTAACTTTCTAATAGAATTTAAATTAAAAAAGGAATTCTACCTTAAAAGCATTAATAGAGGGTGCAGTATTAGACCATGTACTTTGGTGGATGAAGTATTTCCTTGGAGAGGAAAGCTGTCCTCACAGATGCTGAAGTGCTGAGGTCATGCTGAGACCTTGTAACAGATTAGTCCCTTAGACACTCAGCTCCCACATCCCGAGAGCACGGCCTCTTCTCCTGAAGTTAGGAAAGTAAATCAGCTGAACGTGAGCACATGAGAGAGGATACAGATGAGAGGAAGTAATTCAGTCCCTATAGCCCGTTTGGTGGCTGGTTGTTAATTTATCCACGGATTTCATCCAGCTGTTTCTTGAAACCCGGGTGTTGACTTGAACCACATAGCTGGGTGCATCACTGCAGACTCCCACCACCCTTTGTGTAAATGCGTGCCCCTGTTCTCGATTTTCATGTTGTTTCCGCTTGTGTGCACGGGCTTGTGTTTCAGTGTTCATTCTACAATGAGCAGTGAAATTCATTCTGTGTCATTCTGTGTCTGTGTCATTTTTTTACGTCTCATCCGTCCTTCGGATGAGACGTAAAACCGAGGTCCTGACTCTCTGTGGTCATTAAAAATCCCAGGGCGCTTCTCGAAAAGAGTAGGGGTATAACCCCGGTGTCCTGGCCAAATTTCCCCCTTGGCCTTTACCCCATCATGGCCTCCTAATAATCCCCCTCTATGAATTGGCTATATTATTCTGCTCTCCTCCCCACTGATAGCTGATGTGTGGTGAGCGTTCTGGCGCACTATGGCTGCCGTCGCATCATCCAGGTGGATGCTGCACATTGGTGGTGGTGGAGGGGATCCCCATTACCTGTAAAGCGCTTTGAGTGGAGTGTCCAGAAAAGCGCTATATAAGTGTAAGCAATTATTATTATTATTATTATTTTGGCCTCAGTGCTGATGAAACCTCTTTGCAGGTGGACAGGAACGCTGGTGCTGTACTCGGTACACAAGGGCCGGTTCGATTGTAAGGGCGGCGGGACGCTGCACAGTTACCTCATCGTGCTGCTGGTCCTGCTGGCTGCCATCATCCTGTCTCTCTGCGCCCTTGTCTACGCCAGCATGCAGGGTGAGTCCACTCAGCCCAGAGTGAAGTGTAGCTCTGCCGTCCGTGTGTCTGAGTGCTAAGGGGAGGAAGCAGGTCTGATATATATCTCTTCTCCATGTTGCAGTGACCCCTATATATTCATATATAATGTAATTGTATATATGAATTTATGCATTTGGATTTGGAGTAAATCTCCTTAAAGTAAACTCATGTCAAATAGTACATAAGCAATAAATACTGTATGAAGAGGGGCTGAATAAGCTCAACACTCTCTGTAGCTATTCTTTACTTTTTACCCTTGACAAATATTTAAAAAAAGGAATATTCTATTTTAGCAGGATCATTTACAGTAGTCAGGCTGCGTGTGTGAGGCTAATGTAGCGTTTCTAATGAGCTTGTGAGCGTGCCGCCTGTTCGCTGTAACAGGGAGCCGCTGTCTCCACAGGTACCATCATGAACGCCAGGCCGCGGCGCTCTGTGCCCGCGCTGTTGTGTGTGCGCGCCGTGCTGTGCGCCCCGGAGCTGGTCTGGGCGTGTCTGGGGGCCGTCTGGGTGTCTGACGAGAGCCTGGGCTGCGAGAGGGCAGTGGTCAGGGCTGTGACTAGCGCAGTGGTGGCCAGGTGAGTGGACACTAGTCAGGGGGCTGTGCGCGACGTCCGACGTCCGTCAGCTTACAGACGAGGGGAGCTCTGGCATCTGGCTGCTCTTCGCCCATTGATCAGAGGATCTCATCCGGCCGGGATATTTCGCTGCCTGATCCTGAAGAAGGCACCTTGGAGGTTTGGACTCTGGTCCGTTTGTAGTCTTTGCTGTTCAAGATTGAAGAGGTTCATCCTGCCGGAATGGGGTCTTGTGCTGTGGTTGGGAGAGCATGGAGTCATTCTGCTCTGCACTGGGAAGAGCTGGGGTGCGCCGTGTGGGGGTGTGGCCTCCTCAGGATTGCGAGGGGGCAAAGCCTGCGTGCAGGCATGACCGAGGAGAGGTGGTGGTCCTGCGGAGGTATTTTGAGGGGTGGAGGCCATGAGGGTGGTGACGGTTGGGCTGAATCTTTGTGGCTCTTCCTTCATGACTGCAGTAGCCTGAAGTCTGAGCTGTAAGGAACACGGCAAGAGACGGTTCATCCCCGTCCTTCCTCTTTGCTTTGCCCAGGTCCTTGCAAAATCGCAGGGCAGTTAGAACAATGAATGTTGTGGTTCCATATTCGGGTCATTCTTTTTTTTCGGCCCGTTTGACCAGACGAAACGCCTTTGTAAGGCTTTGGGTGGTGGGTGGCTTTGCTGTAGATGGGTGCAGGTTGTGTGAACGAAGATGGGTTTGTCACTCCAGTACAGCTGGAAGGGTTCTGTGACGCTGGCGCGGTCGTGATCACAGCCATCATGGCCGCACACATCTGGACACGTCTGCGTTTGCGCGGCAGGCCGGTGCCGTGACCGCGGTCTCCTCGTGTGCGCAGCTGGATCCTGCTGTTCTTCACGGGGGTGGCCGTGCTCCTGGTGCTGGACCCGCTGGGCGGCTGCCGGCCGGCGCGCCCGGACCCGGGCGCGGAGCGGGACCTGGAGAGCAGCGGCTCGGCCCAGCTCCTGTCCGGGGCGCGCTCCGTGGCCGCGCGGGTGTGGGAGAGCCGCCTCCGCCTGCTGAGCTGCTGCCTCCCGCGGGACGACAGCCACCACGCGGCCTTCTCCAGCATCGCACAGCTGCTGGGAGACTTCTTCTGGGTGAGGAGCCCCGCCGGGTCCCGCACACTCGCACACACACCCGCGGACTCGCACGCAGACACACTCACACTCATACACACACACAGACAAACGCACACTCACCCGCGGACTCGCACACAGACACACTCACACTCACACTCATACACACACACAGACAAACGCACACTCACCCGCGGACTCGCACACAGACACACTCACACTCACACTCATACACACACACAGACAAACGCACACTCACCCGCGGACTCGCACACAGACACACTCACTCACACACACAGATACACATGCACACACTAACTGGGGCACAGACACACAGTCTCCCTCCACACAAAGGGACAGGTCCACGGATGCGGCATTGATTCGCACGGCCTGTCTTCGCTTGGCAAGGCGCTGAATTGCTGGTTATTTGAGGCGAGGAGAGAAATCCTCACCGGCACGCCGATGCCACACACCGCGTGTCTCCGAGCTTGTGGGCGAGCGGCGGGCCTGACTGCGTCTCTCTGTCCAGGACACGGACCTGGTGGCCAGCGACATCGCCGCTGGGCTTTCTCTCCTCCACCAGGAGCAGGACAAGATGGAGCAGTACCGCGACCCCGAGGAGGTGGTAGCGCACAGCCCCCCCTCCCTCCCTGTGAGTCCTGGGGCAGTGGGGGGCTGTAGAAGCAGGGTACTCACCAGCACAGCCGGGTCTGCACTGTCTCTCTTGAACTTTAAGATGGACGCAACCCCTGAAACGACTACGTTTCGGCGTGATTCAGTGTCCCAGGGACTGTGGGAGCAGTGAGAGTGTGTGTGTGTGAGCTGTGTAGCCCTCTTGCTCTCGGGAGAAAAGCAAGCAAGAGCTGTTACTGTGAAGGGCACCCATTGTCTGACGGGCGCCTTAAATTACACCATGAAGGATTTGACTCGAGTATCTGTAAAACAGGGCAACAGAGTCCTTCATTCATAAAGTGAGTAAAGAAGCTGCCTGAGCCGGTAAGATAGGATCCCTTAAGGATCTGCGTGTGGCCTGTCAGCATACTGCACTGGTAGAGGTTAGGGATGTGAGGCAGGGGAAGGTTAGGGATGTTCTGGGTTGTGCTCTGCGGTCCCGCTGTTTCTCCGGCCCACATCTGACCCTAGCCCCTGTCCCGTTCGCAGCAGGAGGACCTGCAGGGGGAGCTGGAGAGGGCGGCTCACTGGATGCCGTTCGCCATGGCTGCCTATGGCTGGCCCTTGTTCGTCTACTCCAACCCGGCGACCGGGCTGTGCAAGCTCAGCGGGGACTGGTCAGTACATCTGGTGTTTGTGTTGGCTCGGGTTTGTGCTTGGTGGTGTGCCACCCGCGTCCTGCCTGGGCCAGAGCTGCGAATTTCAGGGTGTCGGGCCTCTGCGAACACAAATAATCAAAAACAAAACCTCCCTTGATTGTCAGTTAAGGGAAAGTGGGGAAAAATGAACAATCTGAATTTATTTGATAACTGGTAAACTGTCACCGAATACCTTGATCAGTTTCAAGCACTGCACTTTTGTTGTGAAAATATATTTTTTTAAATTACACGTTTCTTTTTCTCCCGATTATATATTTTATTTTCCCTTTTCGCCGTGTATTCTGGGGTTTGGATCCTGTGCTTCCTCCGCTCTGTGAGGGAGGGGGGTGGGTCTGGTGCTCTGATAGTGTGTCTGTCTGCCCCAGCTGCCGGAGTCGCAGCCCGGAGTACGACATTGTGGACGCCGATCACCTGGGCTGCCACTTCACCTCCATGCTGCACACTACAGGCCTGCAGTACCGGGACTTCATCTACATTAGCTTCCACAACAAGGTACCCTGCGCCCCTGACCACACCGGGCACACCGCTCGGCACATCCGGAGGAGGAATTCATTCAGTCATGAACCAGTGTCGCTATTAAGAGCTTAGGCTTAGTAATGCCAGCCAAACCAAAACAGCACTAGGAAAGGAAAGTACTGAGGCTCTAAAACGCGTGGAATTAAGGTTATCGGTACCTGCATATCAGCAGATCATCAGCATCTACATACCCCTGAGCTCGTTACCTTGTTTAACCAGAACCGTGGGCTTGTTAATGAAACTATAGACCAGACTGGTGTGTCAGTGGGACGAGATGCTGACCTGCTTGTTTCTTACGTCTCCTCTCCCAGATCTACGAGATCCCCTTCTTCGTGGCCCTGGATCACAAGAAGGAGGCCGTGCTGGTGGCCGTGAGGGGGACACTGTCTCTCAGGGTGAGGTCAGGGGTCATTGGGTTTCATAGGTTCGGAGGTCAGCGGGGGCTGTTCTGCCCCTGCAGTCACTGGTCATTGTCTGCTTTTAAATATAGGTGTGTGTTTACATATGTATGCATCAAACATGAGCTTGGAAAAAAATCAGATTTGACTTGTACATCTGTTCTGGATGGGAGTGGCTTTCTTTCAGTGAAGCTGAGCTGTGCATCCAAACTGCTGTTTATCAGACAGGAGGTCAGGCGTATGTTAGTAGAAAACTGGCATCTGAAAGGGAAAAGAGTTAAAGGTTGCCGGGGTCACCAGAGGTCAGATTACACACCCGGACACACACTCTGTGCCTCTCACTGTGAGCGGACCACAGCCTGCTCTACAACGTCCACTTGAGGTTAAAAACATAAGACTCATTACGAAGTGGAGGCCATCCAAACTATTTGCCATTGTTGGGTAGTTAGTAGTGAATGGATCAGAGGATCTCCTCCAGCCATGGAGATCTTGGAATAATCCAGGAAGAATCCATGGCTGGGCAGCTTGTTCCACACTCCCACCACTCTTTAGGTAAAGATGTGCCTCCTGTTGTCAGTCTGAATGGACGGGTAGTTTGCCCTTGTGCCCTCTGGTTCGTGTTTCACTGGTGGTTCTGACGAACGTGCTGACCTGACGAAGGTCTCAGCAAGACCATCTCGAGAGAAGCGAGCCCAGAGCCGCCCGTGTCTCCCCTCACTGTGTCTCCATCCCTGTCCCTGTCCAGGACGTCCTGACCGACCTCTCGGCCGATTCCGAGAGCCTGCCCGTCGATGGCGTGTCGGGGGCCTGCTACGCGCACAAGGTGAGAACCGCTTTCTTCATTCTCCTGTCTGGTGGTGAAGACACTGAAGTGTGACTATATGACCTTCAGCTGATAGCTGATACCTGTTTACATAAAAAAGCCTTCCTCTCTTCGTTGTTGCAGGAGGTAAAAACTGTACTTCGTTCTTTAGGACTCAGTCGGCTTGATACGGGATTCTGCACAGGGAATTGTGGCCAGGATTTCAGACCAGATGAGCCCCCCAGAACTGCACTCTTGTCTTTATTAGGGGTGTTCTGATATTCATTTGTCTCCTCTTCCACTCCAAAGGGCATCATGCAGGCAGCCAGCTACATCCACAGGAAGCTCATAAACGATGGGATCCTTAACCAGGCCTTCACTATCGCTCCAGTGAGTTCGCACCGACTCCTGTCTCCTTTCATTTCCGTGAACTCCACAGTTCGTGTCATGTCCCGGAGCTGCTCATAGTCACATCACTGGTGATACCTGGAGCACAGTCGAGGGGTTGCTGGTTATGCAGGCAATGTTACCAGAAAACCAACAGGCTTTGGAAATAAGTAAGATGATTTTAACAGTCGATAGGCAAAGGACCTAATATAGAGCCGTTTCAAGCCTTTTACAGGAAGCCTGTTTCAAAGCAAAGGTGAAAATATTTTTTTTCTGTATAAATGAGCTTGTTGTAAATCAGCCAGCATGTTGTTGTGCTTTACGGTGTTACTGTGCTGTTATGGGTGAACTGTTGCTTAGGTGCACGTGTGAGTAAAGAGCTGACTGCCGCAGTGAGCCTGGTCTGCCCTGCTGTTAGTGCTGAGGTTCCGTCTGCGTGCAGCTCGTGCTGTCTGCGTGCAGCTCGTGCTGTCTGCGTGCAGCTCGTGCTGTCTGCCTGCAGCTCGTGCTGTCTGCCTGCAGCTCGTGCTGTCTCAGTGAGTAACATGCTGGCCTGTGTGTGTAAGGAGTACCAGCTGGTGATCACGGGGCACAGCCTGGGCGCTGGCGCGGCCGCGGTGCTGGCAGTCCTCCTCCGCAGCTCCTTCCCTGGGCTCAAGTGTTACGCCTTCTCGCCACCAGGGGGCCTCCTCAGGTAAAGCCACAGTCGGCGGTCCTGAATCACTGCTGGTACGGGGGGGTGGGTGGGGTGGCGGGAGGAGTCGATCACTTCAGACGGGAAAAGAAAATTGCATGACTCATTATGCAAGTTAAGGTTTGACATGAATACATTTTGATGAGAAGTAATTTTGTATTTCCCAATCTTTCTGAAGCAAATCCCTCGCCAACTACTCCAAGGACTTCACGGTTTCTGTGGTGGTCGGGAAGGACCTGGTTCCCCGGTGAGTCGCTCAGTCCCTGTGCCGCGCCCTGCCCCGTGTGCAGGGGGCGCCACACACGAGTACCACGAGCCATCTGAGAGCAGGACAATGGGCCCGGATGGCCAGGGGCCATGTTGTTTCACAAGGGACAAAATCAATCAATCAGTGTGTCCATGTAGCCATTACGGGTGATTTGTGTTTTTATGTGTTTTTTTGTTACTCTGCTGAAGGAGAAGCAAAAATGTTTGTCAAGAAGTCAGCACTGACTGTTTACCCTTTCCTTTACTCAGACTGAGCATCCCCAACATGGAGGACCTGAAGAGGAGGATATTAAGGATGGTATCCAACTGCAATAAGCCAAAGGTACTGTGTGCTCTTCCCGGCAAGAACAATTGTTTCATTTCTTCTCCGTGTCTTCCACCTGTGTCTATTTTCTCTGCTGTGTGGGATGATCTGCTGTTATCAGACTATTGTGGAATCAACAGCCCCAGCAGTCCTCTCTTCAGTGACAGGAAGTGCCGGGAGGAGTTATATCTGTGTTGCACTATTGACTTTGCAGATCAGCCTTTTCATACTCTGGAATAAGAACGTGAAAGATGATGCCGCTAGTCAATATGCAAAGGTGTATTGCGAAATTGAGAAGAGATGAACTAACCAGATAACTTGTCCGTTCCAATGTACAATTGTCTACACGTTTTTTCTAACCCAGCCGGTGTCTTGAATAAAATTTCAGAGTGTTCTGGTGTAAAAAGTAATTTCCTTTTTTTCCCCCATCGGTGTGTGGATTGTGGTGGATTCAAATCCACCTTTAAACGTTTCTTTAAACGTTCCCGATTGCTTTCAGAGGAGTGATAAAGCTCCTTCAGAGCAGCTCTGATTTATGTCACTTTGTTATGAGCTGGACACTGCTGGCAAGAGGCTTGTGCAGCAGGTGTCTCGTGTCACAGTATGTAATGATCAAAAGCAAATCAAAACTCAATACAAATGGAGAACAAGTGAAAATAAAAGCAGAAGGCTTGTTTGATTGCTTGATTCCCTGTCTTGTTGAGATAATGCAATAATAAAAGTCAGTATACCACTGTTAAGCAATGGGGACTGCTCATCTGTGCTCGTTAGCTCACAGACAGCAGCTGCACAACCTCAGAAACCAGTGTCTCATACCTGTCTGCAGATCTATTAGGACAAAAGGAGCTCCAGTGCTCCATTATGCTAGATAATTCAAGAAGATTGCACCAGCCTGGGTGTTTATGTCTGTTGCTGTGTGAGCTGAGCTCATAGTCTTCTCTCTCTCTCTTTCCCAGTATCAGATCCTGCTGCATGCCTGCTGGTATGAGGTATTTGGGGGCGACCCTGACGACTCCCCGACTGAGCTGGAGAACCGGCGGCAGGAGGAGCTGAGTCGCCCCCTGCTGGGGGAGGAGAGCCTGCTGCTGCACCGCTCGTCCTCGTACCAGAGTCTGGCGTCCGAGGACTCTCCAGGGCACGGCTCCCAGCCCCCACTTTACCTGCCTGGGAGAATCCTGCACGTCACCGAGGAGGGGCCTGCCCGCAGGTCAGCATGCGCACACCTGCACACAGCTGCTCACACTTGCACACACCTGTGCACACCTGCAGACAGCTCACGTACACTAGGGCCTTTTAGCCTTGTCCTTGGGGGCCCTGCACTTTCTGGATTTTGTTTCGGCTGAGCTCTCGGCTATCCAGTAGATCGATATCCAGTAGACAGGCCCAGACCTTGTGCCTTGCTTCTGCCCGAACAATTAAAGGGGAGCTGCTGTCCCAATGTCTTAGACCGGTTATTGAATCTCTGTAACAAAATAAATGTATTTATGGTATAAAAAGATTTTAAAAATTCCAAATGAAGCACAAAGTTGTGAACTTTGTGAACATACTGTAAGTTACTTTGTTGATGCATTTGAAGTTCCCACAAATTGTGACGTGATGCTCACTAGTCACTGTAATGATTGATGAGATGTGACAAGCGAATAATCAGCATGCAGAGTTAACAAGTAAGTAGTATTTGTCTGCAAAACTGTCTCAAAGGCGAGAGCAATATTTTTATTGGATTAAAAGAGATGTATTCACATGCCTGGCTGTTTACGAGGTGATAGGGCCACCTCATGTTACTGGAAGTTCTGTTGCCTTGTTCTGAGTTGTAGTATATGGCGCTTCTCATTCCTGGAAATTCAGGCTGTTTTGTGATGTAAATTGGAGGTTTTACACATCTTTGCGCACATTTTGCTTTTATTATGGTTAGAAAAGGCACTCATCAACACCGATTATTTCTAATCTGTAAAAATAGCTTTCCAGTTCCCCTTGAATTCAGATCAAGCAAGTCAGGAAGTTGAGCAACTTGGCTGTAGGCCTCCAAGACCAGGGTTTATAGTAAAGTACCCCGACCTCAAGTCGTGTTTTAGGGATCTCAAAACAACACGGCTGAAGGTCCTTGTGCTGCTAGGACTAATTTTAGGTAAGCACAGAGTCCAATGCATTATCTCTTCATGGTTTCTATAGAGAAACACAAGCCCTTGACAGTAATGAAACCCACGACTTCTGCTGTTTCTGCCTGGCAATGTGCTGTGCATTGTCATTGGGGAAATGGAATAAGGTGCCCACTTCCACGATCCACAGATTCATTGAAAACGAAGAACACGCTCACACCTGTAGCTGTACACAAAACCACAGGTTTCACAATACGTGTTATCTAACGATCTCTTCTCTCCCCTCCGGCAGGGCGTGTTTCTCCCAGGTGAAGTACCGGGCCGAGTGGTCCAGTGAGATGGCCTTCTGCAGCGTCTTCATCAGCCCCCGTATGCTCACCGACCACATGCCGGACGTGGTGCTCCGGGCTCTGCAGAGCCTGACCCAGGACAGCGCCTTCTCCCTCTGCCCCACGCCACACAGCGACACGAACCACCTGAACGTGATCTGAGCGTGAGCCGAGCATGATCCGAGCGCCCACAGCGGGGCCCCCGGCCTCGGGAGGGGGAGAGGCAGGCAGGACTCTGAACGACCTCATCTTCACCCTTTACGTTGTCTCAGTGTAGGTGTGAGTTTATGATTTGTGAAAATAACTTAAAAGGGCTCCAGAAGTTATTTGACCTGTCAGGCTTAACTGCGCAATGTGGTGATTTGAGAATCCCCAGCTGTTGTCAGGACTGGCTTGTGTTTGTCTCCTGTTTTTAGCTGTTTGTTTAACTGGCACTATAAATCACACCTTGTTAATGAAAAACAATGGAAGATAGATATTCAGAGAAAGAACTGTGGCACTACCTTGCATGAATACTGAGCTTGGAGTCTCTCCAACCATTTAGATAGAGGAAGATGTCAGCTCCTGCGGTGTGTGCTGATATAAAGACAAGGTGTCAGTGTTGGAGTGGTGCTAGAGAGAGGTTGTGCAAAATAAGCACCTACCCCTGACATCTTTTGGGTTTACATTTGGGATGAAAAGAGATTTCTATTTATTTAATCTTTTTAATTTAAGAATTTTGCATCGTATAATCTACATTCTCCAGGTTGTAATTCTTAATTTTTTAAAAAAAACTATCATATTGAAGCAAGAATTTAAATTCATGCACTTTCTAAAAAAATCATGGATTTTGACAGAATGGTACTAGAATAATACCTGTTTAGTTCTAAAGATCATTTTAACATATATTGCCAGTCAGGCCCAGTTTCATTTTACTTGTACCAGAAAGCTCTTTGGAAAGTATACTTATCCTGTACAATGTGGTATCCAGGTGTTAAGTATAAGACATTGTGAAAATTGTCTGACTGATGACTAGTCTACTTTTTTTAAAATAATGACTCCAGAGGTATGTCTGGCTGTGTCAATGGAATCCACTCCTTCAGACCATTCTACTTAAAGCAGATTTGAATAAAGATTGCATGACTGCTGAGTGCAAAAGAGCTGTGATTTTTTTTCCCCTCCTCCTACTACTGTGCTTGCTTTGCCATTAAAGGCTTTATTAAACAAAACTGGTCATGTTCCTGCCTGAGAAGTAACAATGATGCACTGGTCACATTAGAGCAATTCATCCTGATGTCCTACTAAGTTGAGAGCAGGATAACTGGGGCAGGTAATGTCGCTAAAGAAATGACCAAATCAATGCCTGTGTACCATCTATTGGTTTCATACACCCCATTCTTCTAAAAATAAAGATTAAGTATTTTTTTCCATTAAAAAAGTGGGAGGCCTATAGTTCTGTTTACAAATGCATATGGTAATGCTCACAATGCAATCTGCATTATAATAAATACCCACACCAAAATGCCCCATGTATTTGTAGTGTCACTGAACTATGAGTAACAGCTCTATTATAGGCTGTTTAACTCTGGTCGTAAAAAGTTCAGAACTACTTGTTTCATTACTCAATAAATGCAGAGGAGTCTTAAAGCCCTGTTCCTGAAGAGCTGCAGTGACTGGTTTTCTTACATTCAAGCCCTTGGCCCAGTCAAGAACAGATTCTCAAGCACAGAGTGAAGACCCTTCAATACTGTCAATACTCTCTTGTCACATCTTAAACATGTGCATATAGAGTACCCATATTATTGTCTGCATGACACTAGCACGTAACACCATAGAACACAATGAACCATGGTTTACATGCAAGCTGAGCCTAAAGGTGCCTGTTGAGATCACGTAGGCCTACATTCCATCTCCTGAGGAAACATCAGGAAGTTTAATTTGTCAAAATAACATGACTGGATATTTTTAACACTGGACAAACTAGTTTTAAATTTGAGTGTGGTAAAGAGGGGTGTTGTGACCAAGGGTATAGTACATGGTGCACAAATGTTTTTTTTCTTAAAGGTGCTCGCCTTCACAACTCACCCTTTCCCAACTGCAAAAAAACAGCCCTTTCCTCAACTATCTAAAACAAACGGCATACTTTTGTAATGTGTAAGTTTGGGGCTTAAAAGCTGTAAGACAAACAAGAGGCAAAAGGTACGTCACAAGTACAGTAGGTATACAAGGAATAAGTCTTGTAATTTTTATAAAGTGCAAAGAACTCCCATTTAAGGAACCCTACTACACAAAAGAGAAAAGCAAGTTCAACCTGCTCCTTTCTGGAAATGAAAGAAGCCTTGTATTTAAGAGTTTTAATTAAATTTATTGGCTTTTTTAAAGTCGGCAAAAAAGATTGCTATATATTTCATGATGTGAAAAATAAAATCACCTTCTTTAATGAAAAAAAACCATAGAAAGCTCAAACTAATAAATCAATTTTTCTTTGTATTCCTTACCCTTTGCTAGAATGCTTCAGTAAAGATGCACTTTTAACTGTTTTCACCTAGTGGTTCAAAGTTGAAAAAAAATACAATACATATAAACATTGCAATTCTAATACAGGTCACTCAGTAATTGCAGTAAATTGCATAATAGCTGCAGCGTTTATAAAAGCTATAGCTGTAAGGGAATATGGTAACAATTAGAATGTGCTTTAGCGGAGGTAATGAACAATAGATAATGCTTACAGTGTTAATTTAAAAATACAGTGATGTGTAGCCTCAATGGAGAAAACAGGAATTGTTAAAAAAATTACAGCCAATTCACAGGATTAAAACACCAAACGATTATATTTAATTCTGTCATCACCAGCAAAGCCAAGCTGTCAAGTATTTAATTGAAAACCCTAATTCACCTAACCTCTATTATTACAGTATTCAAAGAAGGAAAAAAAGTGTTACAAGATGCAAATGGACTTTTAAGAAAATGACGGGCTTAATACGGTTTATTTTAAACAAGGGAATGGCTTAAAATGCGATTATAAATGCCCCAATACCAATAAAGGTACAGAAACCCTGAATGTATATCCCAGGCTTAGAGCTTCACAACACAATACCCTGGCAATCCAGTCTCAGAACACGGTCATTAGTAAGCAGCTCCCTATTTAACAGTGGGGGTTTTCAGACCATTAAATCAAGTGACGAGCCTTCGGCAACGGAAGGGACTAGAAGGGCAGGTCAAGCTAAAACAGAGAGATGACGTTCTACCAGTTGAGTTTCAACACTCCTACTGAAGCACAAGATATTGAAAATACTGCAACTTCCCTTCAAATACCACAAAGAAGACAATTTAGGTTCACTACTTTTCAAATAAGCATGTGGACAAAATACCCTTCCCAATAAACACGTTTTTATTTTGTTTAGAAACTGCAGTAAGAGATGGATTCTTATACAACCTATTCTTATACCAATAAAGCCATTTATTGGGAATCAACTCCATTCTGATGATCACAGCAAAAATCTTCTATTAGCATTATTCTCTGACTTGCTTTGCATGGCTATATAGTAAACAGGCTAGCATTCGGGAACAAGGCGTACTAATTACTGGAGCAGATACGCTCCTCTTTTTAATTTATTTTTTTCCCCCATCGTGAACCATTTCTTTTTCCGAAGACCCCTTTAAACAAGCCTGGACTTCATCTTCACTTTGCAAAGAAGCGAAACTGTAAAATAGCAAACACTCGGTTTGCCTGTGTAGTGTTTGCAACCCCACTTCCAAAGACCCACAATTAATTGTAGTCGGCATTTTGGCAACTTGTCAATTCAATACGGCTGAAGACTGTAAACACTATGCACTCTACAGAGGAAGGGAAGAAAGGGGAAAAGAGCCCAGCTGTTTACCTTTACCGAAAGATTATAAAAAGTAATTTTTAAAAAGGCAGCAGTTATTTTTCTTTTTTTGGGGGGAGGGGATTTGGGTGAGGGTAAGAGTCTTCCCCTCTCCCCGAGAGCTAACGATAAAAACCTGACTAAGATTTTATTTATAACACCAAAGGATTATAAGAAGTACTAATTACAATAGAAGAGAAACAAAATGGCATATCTGAATGCATACGCTCCGTGTTATCTGCTCTTCCCCCAGGTGAGCTCAGACTGCAGTGGTGTTTTTCTCTCGTCAGTGTGTGGGTTTAGAACAGCCTGCACTTCCTCCTCCTCTTCTTCACGGGAGGTGGGCACAGGACTGCCCGGATGGCTTCGTCGAACACTGTCTTAAGGCCTCGTTGTGTGAGAGCTGAGCACTCCAGGTACTTCACCGCACCTGTACAACAGGATCAAAACACACACGAAAGGCTGTTTCTATTTCTTTGTGATAAAGCACTGCCAAGAAATCTGATCCTTCCAAATGAAAACGCGAAGTACTTGAATGGGACAAAAGACAAGAGAACGTTCATTTCACAGGTGCACTACACAGTTACTTTTCAGGGTGCTGTAAATTTCTTACAGCACCTCAATCATTCATGAACTACTACACCTCTTACACAGTGCTACTACACTGACAGCTCCCAACTGATGCTGTTACTGTTCAGGCACCAAGACAACACCTTTCAGAAAAAGTGACTTAGTGCTTAGAGACAATCCTGCCACACTGATTTAATATAGTAGATAGTTTGATCCAAAAGGATGGAGGTATCCACTCCTCTCGTGGTCCAAGTCATAGGGATCTTTAAATGAACACCCCTTGGAACATTAAATTAATTCACCTGGTGATTAAAAAGGTCATGTGGACTAAAAACTAGCAGAGCCCCTGGGTGCTGAAGAAAATAAGCTAGCACACCCAGCTCAAAAGGTGCCATACCGATCTCTTTGGCCATGGCCAGGCCCTGGGGGTAGGTGATGGGAGTGAGCTTCTTCTCCTTCAGCTTCTCAATGGTGTCCTTGTCGTCTCTCAGATCAAGCTTGGTGCCCACAAGGATGATGGGAGTGTTTGGGCAATGGTGTCTCACTTCAGGATACCACTATAACACAAACAGAACAGTCAGCACAGCAACTACAGATAAATGACAATGATAAGGATAAATATGGTTTAACTTTTGACCAGACTTTTTTATAAGCCTACAGCAAAGGACTACAAGAAGCTCCCCCTCCTTCATATTTATATGCAATGATGTGCTTTATTCTTAAGTATTAAACAAGGCCTGAGGCTACGAGGAAAGCTGCGTTTAATCAACTCTGATACAGCATAATTCTGTCAAACTGATTACAACAACATTCGAAGTAAAGATAGTTAAGAAGACACCTCATCTGAAAATGTAACTGACTGGTCTCAGAATCTGTTTGCATATGCCCCCTGTGTAGGTGAGAGTCTGACTCATGTCACACAGCTTGCAATCACACCAAAACTGCAAACCGATTATGGTGCTAATAAAAAATTACTTTTAACAATGTAAATCTGTTCAATATTGGCCCAACTGGGCAAAGTTAAAAGCTTCTGCTGCTTTAAAGGGACCCAAAAAACCTGCACAGACCTTTCTAGATACCAGCTGGCAGTTTCCAGGAGAGAGAAGCTAAGCTGTACACCACAGACTGCCCTGGCACACAACCAGCCAGCGTGCTGCTAAGGGCTGATGCTCTGTAAGTTTTTAAGCGTACAATCTCCAAGTGTATGACATTTTGCCAATTTTCAACTACAAAAATACACTGAAATATAGCTGAAAATGAAACCAATTTACCAATACAGCTACACGTTTAGCTCTTATAGGCTCTACCCATCACAAAGGAACCTGAAGAAGAACACAAGCACTCAGGAAATTTACAGCAGGCAGCCTCCTCCTCCGAGAGGAGCTGTGACCTCCAGGAAGCCGAGCCAGAGCGATCGGAAAACTCGAACACCGCCACGATCTTACTCACCTTGGCGCGGACATTTTCAAAAGACGCAGGGCTCACAAGGGAGAAGCAGATCAAGAACACATCCTAACAGGTGAAAAGGAAATAAAGAGCTCCATTATAGCAAACTGTTTTTTGGTGTTTTACCACCTGACAGCCATGGACAACTGCCTTTTCATCACTGTACAAGGTGTCTGCCACACACATTCATTTTTAAATCGTTTTGACTAAGTGGGACTAATGTGCTTAGGAACTTCAGATTTCTTTTTGCTTTCAGAACCTTATATAACTTTTTTTTTAATTACTTCCCTTTCAAAGACTCCAGTGATCTTCTCAGACTTATGTGAATTACTTCACAGCTGGATCTGTTCTGAAAACTCAACAGCGCTTGCTAATCAGTTCTCAATACTCCTCTAATTAAATCTACTGCCCTGGCAGAATGCTGACCCAAACACATGCCAGCCTCACTCTGCTGATTCTGTTCAAAATAACAAGAGTTCAGTCTGTATTTTAGGAATCGTGAGGAAACAAAAACCCCTTTCACTTCCTCCCAGCCCTGTCATATTGCTTTGCAAGATTAAATTTGGCTGTGCTGAGAACAGCACCAGGCTTTGTTTGCCTCAAAACATACAAAAAAGGCATTACTGATGTGCCAGCGACTAATAGCTCTGGATGGTAAAACTATCAGGGAAGCCGGATAAGGAGCAGAACAAACAAGGCAATAACAGTGAACCACCCCCTCCCTATTTGTAGGGCATTGGCACTGCTTCGAAACCGCTTTACAGGGGATGAGGCATCCTGGCACTTTTGTGGAACAGAGTAGAAGTGGTCTTAAATGTACCGTCTGTGGGTAGGACAGAGGACGCAGCCTGTCATAATCCTCCTGTCCCGCAGTATCCCACAGTCCCAGGTTGACAGGCTTCCCATCAACCATCACATTGGCAGAGTAATTGTCGAACCTGAAAGGAAGAGGAATAATCAGAGCAGAGAGACACGGGCGAGAGCGGAGACTATGGGACTGCGCTGAACACCCAAGAACAGGAGGCACTTCTTTGCCTAAAGGGTGGAACAAGCTGCCCGGCCATGTTGTTGAAGCCGAGACCCTGCCTTCTTCCTACAAACAGCTGGATGAGACTCCCGTGTCAATTAATAATTACCTATCTAAATGGACCCAACGGCTTTCTCCCGTTTTTGTAACTTTTCTTATGTGCTCATGTCCAGAGCACGTTCAGCTGATTTACCTTCCTAACTTCAGGAGAAGAGTCCGAGCTCTTGGGATGTGGAAGCTGAGTGCCTAAGGGACTAATCTGTAACAAGGTCACAGCATGACCTCAGCACTTCAGCATCCATGACATATGTTCTTAAAGACTCGGGTATTGCAAATTTAGATTCGGCCATCTTCGCAAGGCTCTAATGAGAAAGAGATTTAAAGAGTTGGGTCATTGGACTGTGTATAGAATGTTAATTCTAATCACACGCCGAAAGTGCTGGAGGACAGATTTCAACAGGCTCGGAGTGTAGCTCCTGCGTGGCACACTGTACTTCATGAATGCGGCATTGACCTCAATTCTGGAAGCAAACCCTCAACCCCACCCCATTTCAGAGAAAGACCATTAAATCATTCAAGATTAGGAACATCAGAATGAAACCTTTGAATTAAGCCCTTTAATAACAACTGAAAGATATACAGGACAGTCGAAGAGCAAAGACTTACACTGTTGGGATGTACTCTCCAGGGAATGCATTGGTGGTATAGCTGATAAGCAGGCATGTTTTACCAACAGCCCTGGAAAAGAAAAGAGGGGAAAACTGTGAACGGACTTCAAAACATGTCGATCTTCAGATCGGCAAAGAAGAGGAGATCAAAGACTTTTCGACCTCTCTTCAGCCGATCAAGAACTGTGAATATTTCGACAGGCATTCCTTTAAATCCCAGAAGGGCTCCAGGGTTGCAGTAAGAGGATTCTAATGGTACCTCTGCTGGAAATGCACTAATAAAGCTCCTTCCCAAGCCAGAAAACTTGCATCAAATCGATGGCGCAACCCACGGTGGCCCATATAGAAAAGGAGAAGCAGCACTGCTGCATTTAGTTTAAGGAAAATTAGTCAACTGATGTGCAGCCAATTGGATGAGAGAGGTATGAGGAACATGCACTTTCCTGGTAACATTACCCCTGTCCCGTAGAAATATTGCAACAACTTCCTTGTCTGGTAGTCTGCATTCAGTAATTCAGTGACATAATCTGCTTACTCCTGTGTGTGCGCTTCTGCAGGACAAAGTGTCCTAGAGTGCCAACAACATAACAGACGGTCTGAACCGGTGTAGTTAACGCCGTCCAAATTTACCTGCGCGTCCACATAAAAACTGCAGGGCAACAGATGAACAAACACAAGCATTGCAGACATACGCCGGGTGGGAACCGGAGGATCAGTGATTCAAGCCACCCTCATGCTCAGATTGCTCTGTTACATTCCAGCGTCCCTCAACCTTCTGGAATTCGAAGGGGTGTTAACCTGAATTAAGACGGTTTTAGTCAGCTGCGTTCATCATCTCTCTCGCCTATCCAGAAGCAGGTAGAAGAGCACCATACAAGGTGACACAACCTTTACAAATGAAGGTTTCATCCCACTGTCCCGGTGAAGCTCATCTGCTGAGTAAATGGGTTGATTGCCAGTACTGCAAAGGCGTAATCCCAGTTCGGCTGGGCAAACAAGGGCAGATGGACCTGCTGAGTCACTAAAAGCCAGAGCAGTACAGCACGCCAAACACCGTTGACCTCATTTTCACTTTATTTTCACAGAAAGAGCGAACTACAAATTCTGCAATGGATTAGCACTGTCCAAGGGATTACTGAGCTAATCCTTGCAGTAATCTAGCCTTTTCTCCAGCATGCAGTGGTTCCAATCACACCGCACTCTAAACCCAGCCCAGCTGCACAGCAGTTTCAATTCCTCCAGCTGAATGCTACTATAACAGCTCATTGTTTTATTTATAAAAATTAGGGTGTGCCCTTTTCCCTCTTCCAATCCAGAAATCTCTTTTCAGCTGGAAAAAAAAAAACGGGGGGAGGATAGTTAAACCGCTGATCTATGAACAAGTACATTAAACCAACCTGCAAACTTAGGTGCACACAGACTTTGAAACATCTTGAAAAGTTCTACCAAATCATCACAGAGACCAAACAGAAGTATACTACTTTTTCTTGTAGATCTCTGGACCTTTAAAACCCATGAAAGTGAATCATTCAGGGGGACAAAAGAGCAAAAAAAAAATGCCGCCCAGCCCACCTGGGAGTAACTGATCAGAAGTCCAAAGTACACCTCTCTCATGACAGTGCTGTTGAAGCCAGAAGCTCCTGACCTTACACTGTACAATGGTTCGTTATGCGGTTCATCATGCCTTTGAGAGTTTGTTCCAGTTCTCTCACTTATTTTTTTTGGTGTTCCACTCTCACACAAGTCCCCTTCCCTAAACAATTGCTCCCACCCCTGAACTGCAGGACGGACCTGACAAGAATGCAATCAGGCTGTCCATATTAAATCCTACAGGAAAGGGGCTGACCCTTCCCACAAAGTCCTGTGTCCACAAACGTTCAAAGTTGTTGGGGGGCAGGGGAATGCTTAAAACAAGGTAAAACGAAAATATTAGTGCCATGTTTAAAAATGCATTAAGACTAATATTTTTTAGTTCACATGAGAACAGAATAGATTGTGAGAAACAGCAGAGCAGGAGAGCTTAAAACAGTTTTTATTTTGCACTTTCAATTGAGATTAAAACGAAAAAAACGGGCTAGAAGGCTGCAAGGTCTTTCCACTTGCGGACTGAGAATGCGCACAAACACTCCTCCTTAAAAGGAGCTCAAGAGGAGCGCTGTTTGCCTTCGTCCTCTGAACTGCGCCAAGAACTCCGACAGACTTTTTTTTTTTTTAAGTGGAGGGAAAACAACTGCAAGAGCCTTTCAAGCAGAGCTCCTGTCTGGACGAGGCCGGCGGTGCTGCACTGCGGCTCCCCTACTATCACACAGATCACACTGCAGACGCACGGCCTCACGATGTCAATTACTCAGACCGCATGAGCTACAGTGGCAGGGTTTTGTCAGGATGGCTGGGGGCTGTTTGCAGAAATGGCAGGCCAGGCTCTGGCAGCAGCGGGTGGGAGGCAGGGGAGATATAAACATGTCGGGTGGGGATAAGATTGCCGGCACAGATGATGTCGCAGGGAGCAAGCAGGGACCTGCCCGGTCCCCAACCCCCTCCCACACCTCCACACACAGGAGCTGCTCTCCAGTCAGAGCCAGCAGATAAAAGACACTCCAGTCCCACAAACAACTACGCAGCTTCTGCTGCCATAAACTAACATCTGGAAAAATGCTCTTGTTGCAACGATGCTTTTTCTTTCAGTCTTTATCAGACCCATTTTACGGGGGGGGGGGTACTTTGCTTTCTTTGTCGGACGAAGGGAATTATTAAAATGTGAAACATGCAGCAAGCCAAAAAGAAGACTAAAAACATGAAGGAAAGATATGATAACACGGTACATTGATCCTGTAATTCAGGCATAATCCGGAAAAACTGAAAAGAAAGAGCAAAACTTCCCCATGTTCAAAAAGGCTACTAGTCCCATTGATGCTGACAGCACAGGGAGAGGTAGGCAATACTCTTGAGGACTTTATGCCGTTTAAATAAAAAAATAAAAATAAAATAAATAAAATAATTCCCAATTTTTAAACTCTAAAACCTGACTATTGGAGAAGCTGTGAAAAGTGTTAATCCTTCCCGCCCAACTTCTGTTTTTGTTGAAGCGACCGCAACAGCAGCAGTAGCACAAACAGCCTTCAAATAAAAATGATAAAACGACAAAACTGGGTTTGGGACGGTTAGGAATGTTGGTGACCCTTTTCATCACTGACCCCGACCCGGAAAAGAGGAGAGCGCTGTTCTGGTTCAAAACAAAAAGAGAGAAGAGTGCCTAACAAGCACAGGGGAAGGGGAGACTCCTTTCCTACATGACACAGATGTTCATGCAGGGGGCAGTGCTGAGGGGAGGCTGGGGTGTGCTGTGCAATGACATCCTCTCTGCCCCAAGGCACAGGAGTGACCTCAGCGCTGTTTAGTCAGAACTCCAGCAATCCCTCCCCACTGTATCACAAATTCCACACACCCACTCTCTCGGCAGGAGGAGGCCAGTTGCGCAATGCCAGAGACCGGGAGAGCTGGAGACCTGCGCTGCTCGCGCGCGCACACACACTGAGCTCGCCTGACGTATTTCCTGACAGCTTCTTGCTGTGAGGGGGAATAAAAAACTTCAAGAAACAAATCCTCAAAGGCGTTTGAAAATTCCAGAAGGACTTCTTTCCCCCCCGACCAAGAAAACAGCAAAATTACAACAGGACAATGTATATTTATCATTATGATGTCTGAAACACCCCTACGTAACAGTTCAAAAAAAGCACTGAGGTTAATGAAGATTGCAGGCTTTCGACAACTTATGAAAACCAATAAAAAACGTGTATAAAAAACACTAAGATTTTGTTCTCCTCAATCTTAAGAGACAGCTATGATTTGAGACTTTGACACAGGACAAGAGGAATGAATCAAAATAATGCCAATTCTTAAAAATGCCAACAAAAAAAAGGGCAGAAGTATAAGAACCATTCAGAATAAAAATAAAAACCACACAAGTAAAAAGCTGATTGAAATGTTCACATAGCTGTCCGTTTGCATTTTTTTATATTTTAAGAAGCTTTTTATTCTAATCCTGCTTTTCCCAGAAGACTACAAGCAAGATTTAGAGACTCAAACGTAACCTTCCATATCAGTGCAACCATCTATCACTGCTTTATTTTGCAAAGCCACAGAAATCAAGAACTTTTGATGTTATAGGCATGTTTCTCATCTTCATCCTGTATTATGTCAGTTTAGTACTGCAGCTTCTCAGTTAAGAAAGGCTGCGCACTGCTGTGCAATATGTAAATGGGCATCATCTTCTCAAAGGCACTTACAAACATCTTCCCACAATATTAACATCTAGGAAATCCCAAAACATCGCTCCCATGTTGTGACTGGACTTCTGCAGTATCCCCCTCCCCTCAGTATGGATAGAAGAACTAAGCTTCTATTGCTACTTCCAGCTAAACCCGTTTAACTAAAGAAAATAAATAAATCCTCAACAAAATGGGATTGTTTTGTGAAAGAAGAAAAAAGGCCCATTTCAGAAAGGTGCACCTAAGATTTAAATAGGATTTATTGTACATTTATTGGTATTGGACCCAATAAAAGGCGTTTCACCTGCCTTACAAAGTGATATAAACCCATTAACCTGCTGATCCAGCAAGTATGTAAAAGTGCTGTGTTGCACAGAAAACACCTCAGAAACATGCACTTGCTGCGATTAGTTAAAAGCCTGCTTTACAGGTAAGAGGGAGACTTCACAACAGTATAGTCCGTTAGGATGAAGGAACTCGACCATCTCTCACCTGACTCAAATTCTAAAACAGCGGACAGTCTAAATGACAAAAGAATTACACCGCAACACAAACACGCGAGACCCAACAATTACACACAGGAAACTGAAAAGCCTGTGGTCAAGACTTATTCTTGTCCACTGATGGTTAAAATGGACAAGAGGGCCCTGATCACTCCTCACTGTTTTCACAACATGGCCTGTTTAAAAAAGAATTGGGAATACATTTGAAGCTTGGCATGATCTGGACACATGGTGTCAGTAAACCTACAAATAATGCCACCAAATGGCATTATTATACTGATGCTTCTGAAATCCTACACCACTCTCAACCAGCAATGACCTGACCTAGTTTACTGCTCGAGAAGGAACAATAGTGAGAATATGGGAGGTACTTTAGAAATCCTCACTGTTCAAACCAAATGTCAACGCAAACTGCAAAACATTAAGCCTCTCCAAATTCAAGTTGGGAAACACACAGAAGCCTGATATTTCTAAGAAAATCCAGATGAGAAGAATGGTCATTCCCAGTCTTCAATCACCAATGGTACAGAGAATCTACTGCAGGCACTCCCAGTCCAATACATCTCTAAATATGTATTCCCAAAAACCTCTGTTTCTAAGCACTGGGAATGCTTTTAAGTTGCTGGGCAATAAATAAAGAAATGTATTCAATTAACAGAGCTTGGTTCCTTGAAGACTGACAATTTCCATTTCAGATGATTTCTAAATTACTTAAATCTAACAAAATTGCCTCAAAATGGTTCCATGTCCTCAGAATGTGATTTGAGGGAGACCCACAAACTGGTGGACAGGGGCTCCCCTGAAGCAGGGCAGGAGATTCCTGACCTCTGGGACCCTTATTATACCTATTTCCTGTAAAACCCACATCAGAGACACAGGCCACAATTAGATAAAGGAGACCAATGAGCTGCATTACTCAATTACCCTATACAAGGAAGACTCTGGAAAGTTGTTGCCTGTGATCTGACGAGCTACCGAAAGTATAATCTCACCAGCATTGGGGCCCATTTTGTGACTCCAAATCATACCAGCTTTGATAGAAACTTATCTAAATCCAACAGGCGACCTGAAACAGTTGTAGTTGTAAGCAGTCCACACACGGTTAAGTTTAGAAATCTATACAGTCTTGCCGTTTTCCATGTTTGGCTTCTAGTGCTTATACTGCACACAGGGCACACCATGCCTAGATCAAGAGAGGCAAAAATGGTAAGATTTCTGATTTAGCTCCCCATCAATATCAAAACCTGCGGCTGGAGTTAGTTTCAACAGTTTTTGCTTTGATCCAAGATGACAAAGTGCCCTGCTCCCCCACCACCGCTGTGCTTGTGCCTTCAGGGTTTAAGACAAAGGGAATGCCGACAGCAAGGATCTGAAACAGTTCATGAAGGGTCTCCTGCCTGTTGCCCTGCATGAGGGCTCCACCTCTATGGCTGATCTAATTAACAGCGTGACTAACGCTCCGACCAGGCTCCAAGTATTTCACAGGTAAGCGCCTCTCCAATCATGTCAAAAATGGGGCAAACTGTAAAAGCCTTTAGAACAAACTCGGCTACGAGGATAAAGTTAATAAGCTTCACTGACTGCTCGGGCTGGAACAGAAAAGGCAATCAGGACCTTCAAGACTGAAGATCCCAAGACATGAAGAACTACACCACACAGTCCCTGTGTTTTTGATGCATTGCAAGCACAGACAGGACAACTTCTAGCCCAGTTGCAAACTCCAGTACGCCGAACGACCCACCATTAAACTCCTCCTTTCAACTAACACTAAGAGTCTTAAACAACCAGCAGCCGCACGGTGAGCTTATACAAGAGCAAAAGACAGCATGAACTGATGCAACACACACCGAAAGACTTCAGAAAAAACTTCAAAGATTCTTTCTAAAGGCGTGTTCGATGTCATAAGTCACCTGTATCTGACAAACTGCAGTGTGAAAACGGCTATCGGTAGAGACGAAAAATACTTTGCCCATAAGTAGCAACCAGAAACTATTACACGCTGATCTACTGAAACACTAACAGGAATGCACGAAACCCCTAAAGGTAGTTTTTAAATTGCAAAATACAATTGCGCTCCCATCTATAATCGCCCGGTAACTTAACATATTTTAAACAGAGCAACTTCTGCCATGCATGTTTAAAAACCCTTCGGTAGTAAACAAGTACAGTCGGATCGCCATTCTCATAACTTCGATACAACGTTTAACTGGCCAGATGAAGCCCGAACCGTCTTTTCATTTAAGATTAAATGACCGGCAAACGAGATTAATCATCAAAACGCAAACCAAGCGAAGAAAACGGACGCAATCGCAAACGGATCGACATGAGCGAACTCGACAATACAAAAGAAAAAAAAAACACCGATCAGTTAAAAGATTTGGTTTTTTTGGCCACTCGGTAAACTTTAGCCGGGCTCCACGGAAGTTTGATAAGCTCGTAAGCCACGGCTTCAAAGAGCGCTCCGGAGGGAAAGACCAGTTAATTATAGGTAACTTCCCAGCAGCCAGGTTACTTTCCGACACGGCTCAGGGCTGGAAAGCACGGGCAAGCCCAAAATAATTGAGAGAGACTTTAAAACGCGGCCCCCCGGCCTAGAAACCGAGCAGGAATACGGGTCGGGAGCGGGTGTGGGAGAGTTTTCCAACATTTTCCAAACAAGGAGAAGTTGGAGGCGGGGGGGGAGAGAAGAGGACAAACATCGCAGATAAACTCACCCGTCCCCGACAACCACACACTTGATGGCCTGCATCGGTCCGGTCCGGTCCGGTCCGTCTCCGGGTCACGTCAGCTGCCGGTTCGGGTGCAAGAACAGACCCGTCTTTGTTCCCGCGAAGTTGCTTTTCCTCCCCTTTCCAAAAGCAAAACAACCCCCCCCCACAAAAAAGAGGGAGGGAGGGAGGAAGAGGGGGAAAAAAAAGGAGAGAAAACCGAACAGAAAGCTTCTCCCCACTTCAGTCACGACACCGAGGCAAGCCCGACCGGGTCCTGGAAGTGTGTGTGTGTGGGAGGGGGAGAAGATCAAATTAAGACAAGCCAAACGCAAAACCGCCACTGAAGCGCGAACAGCAACACGCAACACGCCGACTCCCTGTGTCGCGTCCGACTGGAACTTGAGCAAACAGCCACCACCCCAAAGGAAGGGGAAAAAAAAGTCGGAGCTGAAGCTTTAAGCGGGGAAAAAAAAAAAACTCCGGCCCTAGACAACGGAAACTGTAGCTCCCAGCTCCCTGCGAGTCACTTCCGGCCTCTCCTGTTGTCCCGTGGATCCAGGGGACGAGCGCCGGCCCTCCAGCGGCGTGAGCGCGCACGCCTCCTGGCTTCCCGAGGACCGCCGGCTCGGCGACGGGAGCGCAGAGCCACAAGCGGGGCGGGGCGGGGCAGCCGGGCGCGCACGCTGCTCTCTTCGCGGGGGCGAGGAGGGCTCTTGGAGCTGGGGGCGCGGGGGCGCGCGTTCAAGAGGAGGGGGGAGTTTGTCCCCGACACGTGTGGGAGGCGATTCGCCCGGAGCACCAGGCTGAGCGGTTTCAGTAGTTTCGAGATCCCGAGAGTCTCATCTTTGTTGTGTTTTTCTCCTCATACGGGCTGTTTCAAGTGGGAGACCCCAACATTTCATTTTCCTAAGAAAATGAGTTGGATGCAATAAGCTGACAATAATACATGGAAGGCTGTCTCTCGAGTTAATCAGAGAATTCCTCAACACAAATTGTTCCTTAAAAGGAATGCTGCCTGTATGAACATATGGACATCAGACCTGATCAGTGTCCCCCTGAGAGCTGGGTAAACAAATGATATAGGACCTGCATGTGCAGAAACATGAAAAACACACACGAAATGAAAAGAGATGAGAATCAGCCGCCTGTTTGAAGTCTGAAGGTCTGCCTGAGCGTATTGGGTGGGAACACGCCACCACTGACATCTGTGGGAGAGTCATTGATAAGAAATAACGAAAGAGTCTGTATCCCATATATTCCTGTACACACTGGGATCCAGTAGCGCTTCGAACGGGAGGTAGGGCTCATCCCATACTGGATGTTGGTTTACAACAACACTAACAGAAATTCTTCTTCACAGACTGAAAAAAGACACCGAATCTGATGCAGGGAGGCAGACGCGCACAATTGCTTTTCCTGTATTTAATACTTTGACCTCATCTTAAGGCAAACAAGTTCGTATGGAGACAGATCTCAGAAATTCGTTGTTGAAATGGTTGAGATTTAAACTACACATTTCAAAAGAATAACAGTCTGTCACCCCTTCCTCTTAAACATACGCCTATTATATTTCAGCCGACACTGGTCTTCCACTGCTGTAACTAAGACAGGCCCATTCAGTGAGTTTATGGTAACGCTGTGGGCAACGGTTAGCAACAGTAGTTAATTTCGTACGCCGATCTTCCAATAGACTACCGCATAAATGATAACGCAGCCTGCCTCTGTCCAATAATTCCTTCTAAATTAATCTACCCACGTATCACTGTAGAAATCGTATGGTGTAAAGGTTCTTGAAAAGTATTAACCGTATTCATATATGTTAAATTGGCTGATTCAGTTTTAACGGGTTTTTAATGCAAGTTAATTCCCATTGCGCTAATACCTTTAAACTATGACTATCGCTTCTACAGGAGAAAGCGATAAAGAAACGCTCAAAACTTGTTCGTCTGATCACTCCGGCGGGATATGAATGTATTTTTTGAGAACGAAATAAGCCAGGTTTAAAAATACTACGCGGCGGTGCCTATTTTTAGAGACGACACATGGTTCGGAGAGCCACAGGAAGTCAGCGCAAGGCTGCGCATCCGTGTGTCTCACTATATCGCTCCGGCTGACCGAGAATGGTGAAACAGTCCGCTTCTGTCACAGCGTTACCGATTCCCGAAATATCCGAGAGAGTGGCGCTTCAGAGGGAAGAGATGTGAACCGTGTTCAGCAGGAACAGCGCCGATGGGTCGCGGGTTCTGTCAGACGCCCTGGTGACATTACGGACACTGTTTCGGGAGGGGTGTGTGCCCTTTCTTTTGTATGGCGGGTCTGTCTCAGCTGGCGTTGAGGCTTCCGGGGTCCGCCGGCAGGACTTACGGAGTGTTTTCCAAAGGTCTGACGAGGACTTTATTAATCTTTTTCGATCTAGCCTGGCGGCTAAGGATCCGTTTTCCCTACCTCTACCTCATAGCCTCAATGATGTTCAATGTGCGATTACAGGTGAGCGATTTCTCTCTTACCTACGCCACAGGTAAGAGTGACATCACGGGAGTGTTTTTTTTTGTCTTAGAATATACTGTAGTTTCTGACAAACGCGAATACGTCACGGCCGGAGCGATTTCTGCTCGTGTTAAATAATTTCCCTTTGCTATAAATGACATTTCCCCCCTGTAGGAGAAAATCGCGGATGAACTTAGCTGTGATAGCAGGGAAGAGCATTTCTGATCGTGACACAGAGTTTTAACATATCAGTCGCTGCATTTATCGACACCACCCATTTACGAATCTCCTTTGAATAAATGCGGTGAAGGCACATCTCAATTTTAAATGTAAAGTTTGTAATTATGTGGTGTTTTATGTCCAGAGCTTTTCTGGAACATCTGCCCAGAAATCGAGGATTAAGAAAAGCAGTTTGCTTTCATCCCCTTTTAAGCAACGTCAGTGTCCAAGTCCAATATGCATGCCTTCGTTTCATTTGCTTGCTTTTATGTCAGTTTTATACATATTATGTTTGCTTTTTACAGGTCCATATTGAAATACACTAGTGAATCTAAGGACCCTGAGAACGACACGTGATTTTTAAGCGGACGATGCTTTCTAACCCAGCCTTTGGCTGACTTCCACTACATATGTAATGCTGGGAAAATCAAGATGAAGAATGACGCAGCCGAGTTACGTCATCGTTTCCTCCCCGCCCCCTTTTTCGAGAGGGAGGTTCGTGCCTTATTTCACGGAGGGCACTGTGACGTCACCGCCGAGGCCCAGCGCTGCTTCCGGCGGAGCACGGCGCCAAGTTGCCAGACCTTTTGGAAGAGGAAGTCTCCTTTTCCGGTCTTTCTGCTTTTTTTCCCCCGGGATACTTATAGTAATGAAAGGATAACAGTTGTGCAATATTTGAGTGCTTTAGTAGACGGGTGACCAGACAGCGCACGCCAGCAGTCCCCCGCTCGCATCTCAACGTACTCATCTCAAACACGTAAACTCGAGGAATCTTAGTGGGTCATGGATAGCACGATGTCCTTTAGGCCACTGCAAGGCACGTACTGTAACCCTGACAACTGCTGATACAACCAGGAGCTGCCCTTGATGGACTTCCTGCCTGTTATCCAGCAGCTGCAGAGGGCAAGGTTTGATTCCAGGGCAGCATGGTGCCGTGTGCTCTGGGGGGGCGGGGCGTGCAGTCGTCATGTGCTCTGGGGGGGCGGGGCGTGCAGTCGTCATGTGCTCTGGGGGGCGGGGCGTGCAGTCGTCATGTGCTCTGGGGGGCAGGGCGTACTGACCTGTGAGACCAGTCGCCCCACAGGAAGGAAACACCCCACTACCCAGCTTGATGCTGCTCTTCTCTCTGGTGTCCTCAGAAGGGGGTCTGTGGGGCCTGTCACCCCGGGGTGACTGTCTGGATCTTAGTGTTTGTTCTGCAGCAGTGAGCACTTACCTGGCAGACCCACTCCGACTAGCCTGTGGCTCAGAGTTCAATGAGAAGTGCAAGACAATGCTTATTCCTGAGTTACAGCTGTGTGTCGATTTGTTTTAGATTTTAAGAATTTGTAAATGCTGCTTTTTCACCATAGGTTTTCAATCCTCTAAACAATAAATTAACAAAATATCTCATATTGCTGGATTCTTTTTTGCGTTTTCACACTTTTTATGCACATTTCTTTTTTTAATAAAAGGCAGCAATACGGTTTCAAGCCACCAGGGGGCAGGGGTGTGCTTTTCTCCCTGTAGCGGGCAGAGAGAAGAAGTCTGAGTAGCCATCGTCCACATGTGCAGCAATGGACATTCGTCAAACCAGAGGAACCACGTGGGGTTTCCATGTTCAAGTCCCATTTCTAAGCTATTTCTATTCTGTTGAGATGCAAAAATACAAGCCTGCCAATTACTGCTGTCCTTCTGCTGAGTTGTCATTCACCACCAAATAATATGTAGATATTAATTTAAGATCCACGAACTAGAGGAAATAGTGCCGCATGATCTTTCCTGTAATATTTATATGTACATCAAAACAATTCTGGCAGATTGGTCATAGCTGAGGTTGAAGGAGCTGTTCACAGCTGTGGGCTTGGGATTCGAGCCAAGATCCTGTTTACACGTGATGAAAGGGAGACCAGAATAGAATTTCTAAGGCATATTGCGACTTTCTGTAATGTTTCATTGACCAAGGCATCATTGGCAGACAGGCCCAGATTTCAGATATCTATCCACTTGCTGATATCCAGAAAAGTTCAGCACAGGCTCGGGGAAAACATTCATGATAGCAGACAAACACAGCTCTTAATGATGGAGAGCTGCTGGGTTTGTATGGCTTTGGGATACTGTGAGACATCTCCCAGCCTGGCACGGCACTGCTTTGTGAAGGGGAGAAGGATCAACATGAACAAATCCAGGTCTCAGTTTCAGCCCCCAAATACTGGGATCTATAGCAGTTTCGTTAGGACTGAATACAAAGCTCAAAGCCAAGGCTCTCTACAGATGATAAAAAAAGTCTGTCTGATTGCAGCACACAAAAAAATCGAAAGGATTTTGACAGTCTTTGAAGAGTAAAGTAAATAAGTCTGTTTCTCCAGAAAGTAGCTGGAAGCCAAGCAGACTGTAGCCCACTAATGGATTAAATTGAAGAGGCTTGGAAGAAGTTTGCTTTCTTGGAATGCTTTGCTGATTTTTCTAGTAGGACAATTCTCTGGCTGCAGTTCTGAAAGATGTCGGAACAGTTCCAGCAGACTGAAAAAGGGAGCTCGGTACCTTGGGCGTGATGGAGCCTGATTTAACCTTTCTCATTTCTTACAGCCTTCCAAGGAAGCAGAACCCCACCCAAGCCCCCTGATTTTGGTGAGAGACATATCCCCAAATTCCCAGCAATGCTTATTGCACTCCAATCCACACTTCCCCTAAATAGCCTTGAGACAGCTGCATAATTCCTAGTGCATCACCACACCTAGTTGAACAGGCACAACCCAGCTTGACAGCAGTCAGCACCCCACCTCTGCTGCAATGCCCCAAGTTTCTGTTTGCAAAGCGTGTCAAGTGTGAAATATCCCCTAGGTAGATACAGGAGACGAGTGGCATTCTGCTGAGGTGAGTACAGTGAAAATCTGTTTCAGAACCACCTCTGCAGACAAGCTGCACTCTCAAGCCCTGCCTGCTTGTGACTTGATGTTTCCAGCCTGCCACCCTGAAGGAATGAAATGTTCTGGAGAGGCCCTATTTCCTCCACAATACATACAACCCCCCCTCCCCCCCAAAACCATGCCCTGTGGATGTTCCACAGGCGGCTCTTGCTTGGGAAGTAAATCAGAGCACGAAACCCAGTTTTATTAATAATCCTGTAGAGCGCTGGCCACATCGCATTTAGTTAATGAAGTAATGCGCCGCTGTGATAAATTATTGATCGACCGAGGAGAGCCAGATGTCTCCATGCACTATAATCGTTCAAAGCAAATTTGAATCACCAAAGACTGAGCTAGAACTCAGCCTCTTCGTGCTCGATGGGCGACCCAGCTCCTGCAGAGGATAAGGAACATAGCCAGAGTGCTGGGATTGGCTCTTATCCCCTGGGCCTCAGGGTTCTGTGTGTTTTCTGCACACACTTGAAGATGCTGTCTCTTTTGGTAGACTTCAGTCTGCTCTTCACAGCATGAGCCACCTGTTTTGGATGGCAGGGGCAGTAGAGCCAGCTGGAGGGCGTGGGAAACACAGTTCTCACTGTAGCATTCTCAAAAGCACATGCTCTCCCCCCAGACTACAGCCTTATGTGTTTTCACTGGGGACAACAACATCCAAGAACTGAGAGCTTGGTGAAGGTCTGGAATATTTGGCGGGACAGGTTTGGCTGAACCTGCTTGGTTAATGGGCAGCCTCTTGGCTACAGGACCAGGAGACTCGAACCCCATTCAGACTGAGTTAACCAAGGGGTGCAGGAGGGATGCCTGAGAAGGATATGAAGGGGGGTGTTTGAGTTCAATATACAGTATGGAGCTGGTTTGGTGCTGGTGGTGATTAGGACCAGCTCTGCGCGATTGACTTGTCATTGTTATCCCTCACAAACCTTAGTTACTAACTTCCATTTAATGCACGAAGGAGGTGATTGGTGATTCCCCTGAATTAAAACACCCAAAAAGAAAAACTCCCATCTATTTGCAGTGATCAAAGCGAACAGAAGTGGCCCTCTGGAGTTCTGCCGGTGAGGGACATTATGCATGGCACAGACCAACCCTGTGAAACAACCAGGACACTTCAATTCGGAGTCTGAAAGGGGCCAGATGAGAATCAAACTGATCTTTCCAGCAGGTGCTGCTGTGCGCTCCCAGCGGCAGGGTGGGTGACAGCCTGATATATTTCCATGGTGTAAGGATATCGTTGTGGGCTGATAACACAGAATCCACACACTCTGGCTCCTGAATCTCCTTCCCGTGACTCAGCCCCGTAGGCTCTGCGCCGAGCCGCCCCCACGCGCGCGGCTCATATCACCCGGCTTTGTTTTCAGAGTTTATTTCAAATCCCATTTGGCAGAGCCATTAGCATCGCAGCCTCGCCCCCGCGGAGACCCAGGTGAAGCAGCACACAGCCTTCCCCTGGCCTCTCGGCACCACACCTGGGACAGCTTTCACACCAGCGAGCGCGCCATCGCCGCACGTCCAAGACCACGTTCCTGTTTTGCAGTCATAGTGCAGTCACTTTTCAATACAACAAGTGTTTGGCTGCTTTGATATCAAGAAGGAAATTGCTTGCCTGATTCTTCCGAGAGTGGGGGGACTATGCTAATTCAAGAGCTCTCAAGCTGTGGCACCTACAACCCATAGAGACGATGGTCTAGATCCTTGATCACCAAGTCTGCAGGTCAGGGAACCATGTGGGACTTCTGGGCAGGAGTCTGCAGTCATCCCAGTCCTTCCATTTTTAATGGAATATAGATCTTATTAATTTTCAGTAAGTGGGCCAGAAAATGTTCAGCAAACCAATTGAGAGCCTGTGTGAAAAATGACGATCGGAAGAACGTGTAGCTCATCTTCGGTCCAGGGGAGAAAGAGAGGTTTTCGTCACACAAAGAGTTTCTGTCGAGTGAAAGTAGGGCAGGCTGTGCTGCACTTGTCCGACATTCAGAATTCTAGTTCATCCCTGTGTGTCCCACTGGCTGCTACGCTGCTCTTTTAATTAGCTCGCTAGTTAAACAGGCGGGGCTCTGGGGAACCTGGGGTTCACGCTGCACATCTCTCGTCTGAAGCAGAAGAATTCGAACCTCAGCCTCTGGGGCTCCAGTCGTTTTCTTTTACACCTTCTTTATCTGACAGTTATCTTGGCATTTCCAGTTATTACGAAGAGGCTCTCTGGGGCTCTGAATTGGGTATGGCCTTATGAAGGAGTTCAGGCTACGATGGGCAGTGACACAGGCCTGACTCTTTCTGGGGAAACATGGCACCCCATTCGAATGGTTGAACCCACCCCTGGGGTCTCGGGGTACCCCAGTGCCCTCATGTGCTCAAGTCATACTTACATACATAAACACTGAAAACAGGTGTAGTTTGACTCCCTGAGTGTTTCAGTTTTGTGCATTAGCTACACAGTAATATAATAGTTATGATACTATATGCATACTCTCAGTAACTCAATCCCACAAAAACCCTTGTATCTGAGAGACCTGTTCCTTTTTACAACTCCACCCTGAAGTGAACGAGATTCCCAGATTTTGGAGAGGGTGGTCTGGGGGGAATACTCTGACTGTTGCAGTTCACTTTCCCAGCACAAGGGGGCGCTGGCTCTTAGGGTGCTCTGTCCTGCCGTGAGGGGAGTAACTGGTGGAATGTAATGTCATCCCCAGTAACAGCCCTCATAACAGCAACAGCAGCGAGAGCTACGGAGTGAACAGTGTTATTCAGCGAGCCCTTCTGGCAGGGTTTGTGAAGGTCCTCTGACAGGAGAACATGTCGACTCTCAGGTGCACCTCTTTTCAATACCGTGCAGCACCATTCATCATTGGAAAGCATCCCTTTCATTTGGCGGATTTGATCATGGCTGCTGGTTTTCTTGACAACGAGGGTGTGGTGCGCGATGTGTTATAGACTAAATGCAGTGCATGCCTGCTCTCCCCGCGGACAGAGCTAACCTGCTTCATTACTGGACTGAGACATCTGTGTGTCACACACTGTGCGGCTCGGTTCTGTTGTAGCAAGTGGACTGGAGAGCACAAAGCCCCCCAGGAGGAGATTCCCCCCCCAGCACTACTGATTCCCATTCATGCAGCCCCTGGGGTGCGGAACCACACTCAAGGTACAACAGCAGCGTCTGCAGCAGGGACTCGAACCCGCAACCGGTCAGTTAGAAGTCCCAAGGCTCCTCCACTCTACACCACCACCGACGGAAAATAATCTTCTCCTTCAGCTGACCCGAGCCCTGCAAGATCAGCGTTAGGGCTGCTGCTGTTCCCTCTGTCCTTCACTCCTTTTCGCTCATAATCCTTCAGATTAATTTGAGGTTTCTGGGTCTCCATTCAGACACGCAGCTGGTGTTAATTAATCGGTTTCCGTGGCAACTGCATCTGTAAACCTGCACTCCCCCCCCCACCCCGCCCCCACCCTGAGAAGAAGAGGATTTCTCCGGTGGGGATTTACCCAGTAGA